ATGGATTAACCGTATTTACATTGAACCTTATGGGAAAATTTGATTTGGGTCGCAACCAATTTGGGTCACGACCAGAGTCGCAGAACAAATTAAGTTCGTGAACCGAGGTACCACTGTATTTGACATTCCAAATGTTTTTTGAATGTAGTTCCTATGAACTATATTTGTCCATGCTGGCTATGGTTCATAGAAGTCATTGAGCAACATTCAGAACACACATGGAGCCATCTCTTCCTAAGTAATATATCTCCTATGACTACATTAGCATCCACAAAAAATGTTTTCGTATTTTCACTCTAAACTGAACCTAAAGCATTGACATCTCTCTTCGTTTACTGACTGGAGATATTCTACTCTCCATCTAGAGTCATAGTGATGAAGGCGGATTAAAAAAAATCCTGATATGATCATATGCATGCTTTTGAAGAAGTATCTCAATTACTATACTCTGTGTTAAACAGAAGTTTAGGAAAGTTTAGTTTTATAAAGCTTTCATTAATCAGTAATTCACATATCAAATGAAGAACTGGACACTATTCGGGAAAAATTCTCAAGACAGCATTAGAGAAATGGGAAAAGGACAATTAAGAGCTTGAGAATTTGAAAAGGACAAAAATATTGCATAGATGAAGAATGAAGAAGGAATGCTTGAGGAATGAATTTGGGGAATTTCTCAGATATGTCAGTGATATTGTTGAAGCCCTGGCTGACATGGAATATGAAGACAGACTAGAACATTAACACTATTAAGCCTGAACAATTTCTTCCATTTCATAGCATTAAAACAAACCTTTGATTTACCAGGAAGTTGTGACTGATCACTCAGACAAGCAGAAGTCGAAGGACATCAGATAGGACTCTGTGAACATGGACTGAAGGCCATTTGAGACACTGCTTTGCAGTGGTTCTGGTCTACTCTCATGCTGTTTTCAGAAGGCAGTGCTGGGGAAGTACTTTTCAACACCTAGGGTACTGATCTATAACATTCCACGATTCTATCCTATCCTGTATGCTGTCAAATATCTATGTGAACTGCTCAGGGAATTAATTCAGGGCTTTGATTTAAGATATCATTAGTATGCTTATGACATACAGCTTTACTGCTCCTTAGCATCCAATTCCAGGATGGAATCTGTACCCTTGAGCATTGTCCAAGATCAGTAATGGCTTGAATGAGGAAGAAAAAGCTGCTATTAAATCCAAACAAGACAGAGATGTTGTTGATAAATAGGGTAAGCAGGACTTGGGGGGTTGTGTCTAATGGGCAGCCATACAAATTTGTGAAATAAATAAATAAATAAATAAATAATGGTAGTCTGTAGATGTTCCCTGATCTTTATCTGTCACTGGATCCAAAGGTAGTAGCTATGATGAGGAGTGCATTTCCACAAGTATGGATAGTGAACCAAGTTAGATTGTTCCTAAGCCAGTTGGACTGGCAAAGTTGTCTATGTTTTGGTTTTATCCCATTTTGACTACAGCAATTTGCTGTATGTGGACTCAACCCTGAAAAGCATTTGGAAGTTGCAATTGGTGCAAAATTATCATTATTATTTAAATTTATTGGCCCCCCATCTCCAGTGTACTGCAGCAACCTGGCTCTTAACTGATTCAAAATATAGCAATCATATGATGCTTGTACTGCAAGATCTACATTGGTTGCCAGCTGTTCACCGTACAGTCAAACTATTGATATAACCTTTATACAACTGGAGATCTGAGGGGTCATATCTATCATAATGACTCTGTCCAGGCATTACAATTTTCAGCAAAGATCTTTCTAAAGAAGTTCCTACTGTTACAGGTCAATCTATCTGGTATGAAGGATAGGGTCTTTTCGGGTGTCACTCGTAGCCTATTAAATGAATTCTCTGAGAGCTACATGTTCCCCCCACTTTTAGGCATTTACAAAAATCTGAAAGAGTATAAACAGAAACAAACAAGATAAACTTTCTTAGTAAGCTTCCTTTTTATTGGTTTCAATTAGAACTCTTCCTGATTTGTGTTATCATTTTTCTTAATATCTTCCTACTAGTTTTTCTTGGATTGGTTTACTTTGCATCTGATTTATGATTAGGCAGCGACTTACATCATTTTTTGTTCTGGT